GCTTCCTTCCAGAATAAATCATCTCTTACCTCTTTAAAAAAATAAAATAACAACAAACTAGTATTTGTCAAATCTTAAATCTTATGCTGCCTTGCTCATTTCATTTATCTCTAGAATAAGGTGGGAGATATTATTGGTGTGCAACGAAGGCATGAGAAAATGAAGTAGCATGACAAAAGTCACATAGCGGGTAAACAGAAGAGCTGGGACTTTAGCTGGTGCCTCTTTGGATTCAACTTTCATGATCTTGACTCCTGGATTAACACTGCAAGGAAGAGCACAGTTCTATACAACAAGCCCTTAGAACCTAGCACCTAACTTTAAAGGTTTTTAGGGATCACTACATACAAAAGTAGGTATGTTTAAGCAGCTGAGTTAACTCATGCAAATGTTATAGTTGGGAGCATTTGATGAGTGTATTTTTGTTGTTGCTCTTCCAGTGCTGGGGAAGGACAGGGAAAACCCAGGTCTTCCTATGGGTAAGGCAGTCAGTCAGTTGATCACTGTACAACACTGCCCCTGTTTTTTAATATTTTTATGGAATTTGGGAGTAAAACAATTTTACCATGTGTCATCTTGGTAAGGAAAAGTATACTGTATTAGAGATGTTCTGAGGATTTTATCTTGCTTTTAAATATTTTTTAATCTCCCCATGAAAAGTGACACAAATTGGAACAACCTTCTGTGAAGTACACTTTATAAAGGTATTAGATTATAAAATTAAATGTGTGCTATTTGTGATGAAAATGTGGAAATTCAATCTTATCACATAACAATGTATGCTATACATACTTCTACCAGAGTAATATTACTGACTAAAAAAGATTTTTATTATTTACTTAGTATTAGATCTATAATTGCTAACAAATATTAATATAAGAATATTTAATTTAAAGTCAATCAACCCTAGTCCACTTGAAGTTATTTTTGAAGTAAACTGACACCCATATGCCTCTCGCTTCCTTTCTTCAGTTTCAAACTATGTCTATTAAATCTAACGCAACTGAAATTGATGTTTATTTACCCATTCACTAAAAATAACTACAATTTCATCTCATGTTTTGATCTGTGGCTAAGAAATTCACCATTTTACACATAGGAATAAGGAAGCCATTTATCATTAAAACATATGATCTACTCTTTGATATCTCAGCATGTATTTTTTTTTCAAGTTTGCTATTTGGTATCAACTCCTTTCCAGTTGTAAACATTTTAATTTCATTAAAGGAAGCAGTCCTTAGGGGAGACCGTCAGAATTTTTAGTACTATGTGCTAAATCATTATGAAAGATTTACTTTTCGTATAAGGCATCTTTTCATATTAATCATATCACTAGACACATGTTTGCCGAGGTTTACCATGGGTAATAAATACAGAACAGCAGCAATGGAGCTGGTAAATCTTGGCACATATATTTCTAACACACTATATTGAGTTATGCACGAAATAATCACCCTAGTAAATCCAAGTCAAACATCTCATGGAACAGTTGGATGCTTAATTAAAAACAAAGCAATACTCTTCATGGGGGTGATTTTTTTCAGTGGCTAAAAAGTCAATGAAACATTAAAATAGTTCAGGAAAGAGTGCACATGCGATTCCTTTTGAAGATAGTAAATGGCTTTTGCCACTTCTAGTAAGACCAATGCAGAAAGAAACTAACAAACGGGGGAGAAAGCTCCGGAGAAACCTTCTCAAGTAAAATAACAAGAATTGGTAAATGTTCTGCTCACTAATTTTTTTTTTTTTTTTTTTTTTTTTTTAGCAAAGTTGGAATTTCTTTACTCCACCTATATGAGGCTCAGCACACAGCCACTGGGCCAAAACCAATCACAGTTCTAGGTTTTAGATGCATCCAGTTGCATCAGACTAAAGCTCAGACACTTCTGCCCTTGGAAAGCACCACCATCTGGATGCTTCTCTTCCCTGGGAGAGGAAACCCCCAAACCCTCAATGATAAAGCCAATAGGATTAGCATTCAGTTGGAGGTGTGAACATAACAAAAGCAGAGAGCTGATGAAGGACAGTGGGAGACTAAATTCTGAAGCAGGCAACATGATGCTAGAACAAAATGAAGGAGGGAAAATAAAACAACAGCCTGGGGATGAGTTCTAGGTTGTAACAGGGTTCTACAGTGAGACACAACTCTGTGTCTTACTGTCTAACCTGCCATACAGTAGTATAGGACCAGACAGGGGATCCCGAAGGCCCCTTTCACTAACATGAAAAATAATCCAAGGAAGTTAGTATACCATTTTCCTTTACTTAACTGATAACTTATTTACACCTTTATTTGTGAAATAGCTACCAAGGTGTGGATCATATACTCAAGGATATGAAAGTGTACTAGTTATACCCTAGGACCGGGGACTTGGTATCTACAGATTAAAATAAAAAAAGGGAAAGAGAGTACATCAATATGGTGAATAATCTTTATTTAATATAAAATAACAAGCTATGCCCTTTATCATAAGGGTATAATAAAATGCCACATCAGGAGTAGAAAATCCAATAAGCGGGTGTATCAGATCTGTGTTCTGATGTTCAGTGGAGACAACTGGAGGAGAACCATCACTTACTACAGGACCAGCCAAGATGGGACGGAACAGACCTAGGTCTCCTTAAGAATAATATATTCAGTATGGGGTTCTTGAAGTTCAGGTTTCCAAAGACACAGGGAAGCAGAGCATAGAAACAAAAATTGGGAACTAGAAGCATCTTTGTTGCAGCCAATAACTCTGACTTTAGGAATACCAAAAATTAAACTACTGTGAACCTTACTGTGGTGGTATGAAAGAAAATAGCCCCCCAAAGGGAGTGGTACTACTGGGGGTGTGGTCATGTTGGAGGAAATGTGTCAGAGTATTAGTAGATTCTTAGGTCTCATATATGCTCAAGGCATACCCAGTGTCTCAGACCACTTCCTGTGGCCTATGAGTCAAGCTGTAAGACTCTCAGCTCCTTCTCCAGCACCATGTCTGCCTGCACTCCACCATGTCACACCATGGTAATGGACTAATCTTCCAAAAATATAAGCCACCTCAATTAAATACCTTTCCTTAATAAGAGTTGCTGTGGCAATGGTGTCTCTTCACAACAATAGAAATCCTAAAACACCTACATTTATTTATTTATTTTGGTTTTTCGAGACAGGGTTTCTCTGTGTAACTTTGGTACTTTTTTTGGAACTAACTCCTGTAGACCAGGCTGGCCTTGAACTCACAGAGATCCGCTTGCCTCTGTCTCCCAAGTGTTGGAGTTAAAGACATGTACCACTGCTGCCTGGCCAAGACCCCTACTTTTAAAGACTCTAATGTAGATGAAACTGCAGAGATTGAGGTTAGGTATAAAGGGCACAAACAGTAAGATGTTAAGTCACAGCAGAACCACAGGACCAGCTTCCAGGCTCTGTCACTCTGGGACTGTCTGCATATCGACTCAAAGTTCAGAGAAGATTGAAGTGAGCCAGATATTCTGGTGGCTATTTTTACTTAAGTATTGAGTATGTCATTGCTAAATTAATACAATGCCATTACAGATGCTTACCTTCTCTTCATGTGACTTTTAAATTGACTAAATGTAGGACTAGACATGGTCACTATTCACCAAAGTTCTAGACCGTCATCTTCACATCAGGGAAGAAATCTTAAAAATCAGTATTTAGATGTCTAACCTGAACCTGTGCAAAGTGTCATTCCCTGGGAACCTAGTCACCAAAATGCTGTGGTACAAAGTTTCACAGTGAACCTTGTCGGTCTGGAAACAGTGGAGGAGAAATAACAGAAGACAGGAATTATGGAAAACCGCTGCACCAGTGGTATCTGGTTTTAATCCAGTAAATTCCATGGAAATTAAATGCCCAGCATTTCTATATTTTAGCAAGTTAACCAGTTTGACTCATATATATAATACATTTGGGGGATTAAGATATAGTAAATGACCTCTTTAAAAGAACCCTACATACAAAGAAATGTCACTATTTCATATCAGGTATTAATTATCCACTGGATGTTGAAAACAATTCTTCACAGTCCTGTCTGAAATAGGTGACTTGGGCAGACAAGACCTTGGTGAGAACGGCCTGAATACTCACTCCAGCAAGATCTCATATAAAGTGTTTATTTCCCAGGGAGAGCAGGCAATTTTCTGTCTCACATGCTGATTGGGCAGTATCTTTACTAAACAGCGTGAGTCTCTAAGTGCAAGAGATGCACAGTACACAGGACCGCCCCTCTAGGAAGACTTATGAGAAGCAATGTGACCTCTAACTGCCATTGCCACCAACAGGTTTCTCTTGGGAGAAAAGGCAGTTTCTGAGGTCATCTGCCATTAGACTCCTTAACTAATAGCAAGCGAATGACCACTCCTGTGATTTCAGCCGGGGGTGCTTCCGCTTTGCTGCTAACACATGCTTCCCACTCGACAGACCTGTTCTTTTGCAGTCATAAGCTGCATGCATACCTCATGGTCTTTAAAGGAAGTTTTTAGGCTTTTCCCTTCAGGAGCAATAAGTTTGGGTGAATTTAATTAATTATTTTAGGAATAAATGTTTCAAACATTTTCTAATAAATATTAATGAATAAAACGAGGCCATTTTTTTAATGTCTCAAATGCAAATGCAGACAGTAGTGGATCCTCAGATCAGAGACAGCCATAAACTTGAATTCTCTGCTTTCATATAGTCATAATTTCGAGTAAAAATGTGCGCTGAATGAGCAATAAGAATTAATAAGTTGTGAAATCCTGGACTATCCCACACATCTTCCTGAAAAAGCCCAATACGTCCCTTGTTACAACAGCTGCAAAACCTCCTTAGAGTGACGTCAAGGAATGGCCCAGTGACCATGCATCACCCATGTTTCTCCACCCCCTCCCTGAACTTCCTTATTCACAGTGACATGGTTTGAGAACCTACTTGAAACCCGAGGCACTATTTTCCTCATGAGGTACTTCATGTATCAGAGAGAAATTCTATTTTGTAGATGAAATGATAGTTCTACCTGTCTCACAGCTGGGTCCAGTGAAGCCTTGTGGGCACGCACACACGTTGGCAGCAATGCAGGCTCCTCCATTTCGACAGCCGTCTTTGCAAAAGGCTGCAATAATCCAGACACATGAGTAAATCAGACAAGCGGTGTCAGATACATGGCTGTCACTGTGATGTAAGTACACCAATCCGTAATCTCTATGCCCAGCTTGTCTTGATTCCCTTGCAGATGTGACACCAAATGATAAAAGATACCATAATTTCATCATGATACAGTATTTTCTATACACGAGAGGAACTCAATATGAGCTTGGGAACAGTTTCTAACAGTAAGGAAATAGCTTGCTGAAACATAGCAAAATACAGTCGCCTTGCATAGAGTGACATGCATTACAGCTTTTATTGTGTTCCATTGGAAAAATCACACTTGAAAACAAACATTAAAAAGTGATAGCTGACTCTGAGATTCCATCTTACACCTGAAAGAATGGCCAAGATCAAAAACACTGATGGCAACTTATGCTGGAGAGGCTGTGGGTAAAGGGAACACTTCTGCATTGCTCGTGGGAGTGCAAGCTGGTACAGCTGCTTTGGAAATCAGTATGGTGATGTCTCAGAAAATTAAAAAACAACCTTCCTCAAGACCCAGCAATACTACTTTTGGGTAAATACCCAAAGGATGTTCAACTGTACCACAAGGACATGTGCTCAACTATGTTCATAGCAGCAATTTTTGTCATTGCCAGAACCTGGAAACAACCTGAATGTCCCTCGACCAAAAAGCAGATAAGGAAAAAGTGGTACATTTGCACAATGGAGTACTTCACAGCAGAAAAAAATAATGACATCTTGAAATTTGCAGGTAAATGAATGGATCTAGAAAACATCATATTGAGTGAGGTAACCCAGACCCAGAAAGACAAATATCACATGTACACACTCATAAGTGGGTTTTAGACAAAAAGCAAAGAAAAGCAGCTTACAATTCACAATCCCAGAGAACCTAGACAACAATGAGGACTCTAAGAGAGACATACATGGATCTAATATACATGGGAAGTTGAAAAGGACAAGATCTCCTGAGTAAATTGAGAGTATGAGGACCATGGGAGAGGGTGGAAGGAGAGGGGAGAGGGAGGGATGGGAGCAGAAAAAAATTATAGCTGAATTAAAAACAATAAAAAAGTGATGGCCATTCTAGATGAGACAAATCACTGGAAAATGAAAAGAGGAAATGGGAAATGATGGACTCCTATGACTCTGGGCTATCTACATGTTGGCTAAAGTACTAAAACATCAGGGAAGGACGTCAGCCTTCCTAAAGTTTTAAGCTGGCCCTGCTGACTTAGAAACACCCAACAGTAAGAACCACTCACCCACCAGCCTTCTGGAAGAATGGCATTCACCTGCTAAGGAGAAATGTTTTCAGTTGGTGTTTACACGTGCTCATAATTTTCTGGGTTACTTATACTTTATGACCTGTGTTTTCATATCAGAAAGGAATCAGAACCAAGCAGAAGTAAGAAACGGAAGCATGGGGGGATCAACTCCAAACCAGATGTTGTAAAGGAAATTCTAAGAGTTTAGTTATATTATTTGTCTATTTCCCAAGCAAATGCCTGTGCAATTTTAACTCCAAAATAAGAAGACCTTCTTTATGTTGATCTACATGACGATGTGTGAGTTTTGAAGATCAAGGCCTCCCACAGTGCACTGCAGACAGAACTTATGACTGGATCCTGAACCACTGCACTGACTTGGTCTTTTCTTCTCACAACTGTTCTACCACAGCAAGTCTACTCCACTGAATGTCAAAGTGGAGGGTAACATCTACTTAAGGGGTGGGCATCTTTGGAGGCTCAGAGGTCTACATGATACAAATTGATTGGTACTTAGAAATATTAACTTTATCCTATGGGATCTGGTAGCTTCAAAGTCAGCCCTTTGCTTCCCACGTGAAGAAGGGTAGAAACTCACCTGGGGAAGATGGCTTGGAGGGATGTGCAACAGTAGACAGCAGTGAACTACAGCTGGAAAGTCCACTGATACAAACTAAAGCCTGAGGTGGACATTTAGGGGAACTGTCAACCGACACTGAAAAACAACCTAACACAGGAAACTACAACACACACAGACCCGGTGTGCACAGTTAATATTGATGCCACAGTGACAGAAACTCAAGAGAGAAAGCATAGGAAATGGGGTGGTATTTTAAGGAGAATCAGCAGGGTTACATGTGACTAGGTTGTGCTTCCAGAAAAGTCGCTATCATGATACTTTCATGGGCCCTAAAACCAAATGCCTGAGGCTGGGATACTGGTAAACCAGATGAAAAGAAAGATTCAAAGAAGCTAGAGATAAAGGCTTCAAGAAGCAGAATGAGCACATTAGAAGGGGAAGTAATTGGGGAGAAGAAATACAATGACGATGCTTAGGGCTTCAAAGATGGAGCAATTTGTGATTTAAAAAAAAAGCAAAACTACAAACAAACAAACAAAACGCCCAGGACTGGCTGTGGGTGTAGTTTGTAGAGAAAGACAGCTATGCAAATTGCTGTAGCTGTCACAGAAGATTAAAGCAAAACCACTGCCAAATTTCATGGCTCCATAACTGCTGGAGTGATCAAGGAAGGTGGCAGGAGCTGAGACAAAGATGATGGGATATGTAGCAACACTCAGGAGTACTTAAGCAACTCAGTGTTCATGAGGTACAGACGAGGGAGGCAGAGGGACGAGAGAAGGGAGATGCTGGCTCTATATGCCGTGCCGAGCAATGGCCACAGACGCTCCCTACCTTTGCATATGGTTCCATTCCCAGTGTAGCCAGGCTTGCAGACACAGTTGTGCCCCCCGACAGTGTTAAAGCACAAAGCGTTTTCATCACAGTTGTGCTGATTTGTGGCACACTCATCATGTTCTGAAATGAAGAACACAATTGTGTTACTCAAGGACAATTTTCAAAGAAGTCATACTTTAAATACATTAGTGTCTTAGTTGTTATATAGCCGTTCTTCCCACTGTAGATGGAGGCAAATTATAAACTAAAGACAACCTCGGATCATTCCAGATTTTGAAGTATTATGTGCTATAATAGAACTACACATATAAATCACATTTTTAACTAGCCAGTCCAACAGGCTGACCAGTGGAAGACTAGAATAGATGCTCTCATAGACAAATGCCAAAGTCATCTATGTAACTTCTGTCATTGACACTTCAGGGATTATCCTTGTAAAATAAGTCTTCCTGCCACCTAACTGTTCCTTGTAAGATGCGACTGTAACTGGGAAGGATGCATAATTGTTTTACTCTTGGGGTGGTTTGAATGTAATTGCCCCCATAAGCTCATAGGGAGTGGCACTCTTAAGGGGTGTGGCTTTGTGGGAGAGGGTGTGGCCTCGTAGGAGGAAGTGTGTCACTGTGGTGGTAGACTCTGAAGTTCCTTACTAGCTTAGCAAACTGACTGCCCAGTGTCTCAGTCAATTGACTTCTTGTTTTTTACAAGCCAAAATGTAGCCAGTACCGTGTCTGTCTACGCCCAACCATGCTCCCCGCCATGATGATAATGGACCGTGGTCATGGTGTCTCTTCACTGCAACGGAAATCCTAACTGAGACACTCTAAAAGTCTTGGCCTGCAAAATAACAGGGCTGAAATTCTGGAAACTGGATGCCACCAGCTGACATCTGCAGCTGCACATGCCATCATGAAGACTGCTATGCACTGTTGTGGGGACATCTTAGGAATGTCCTCTCTCCACAAGGCAGCATCCTGTGAGAACTTGATGAAACAGATTAGCTTTCCTAATACATGTATCTCACGTGTGCAAATACACATCAAGTATACAGCCAATGTGATGTCCCCTCAGCTGGGGACAGCTTGTTACTTTTCAAAGCTCTCAATCATTTGGTCTCTCTTTCCACTCCTGTGAGAGAGGCAGAGCAGATCACAATTCAAAGGATAAGGCAATTGTGACTTAAATGTTAACACATCTTGTCTGAGTTCTAGGAGTATTAGCTAACTTCAGACTTTTGAATTCAGCAAAAATATAGAAGTTAATAATAAATACAAGAAGGTGTGTGTCTTGGGGGAGATCTAACATTAAAACAACTTGTGTAGGAAATAAAATATATAAGGACATGTGCACAGATTAGTTTAGGTCCCTAAATTGTTTGCTCTCTAGGTTTCTTTCACATCCTGGTCTGCTTTTCTTTTAAACATTAACATAGCAGTAACTTCAGCAAGTTTGTGTTTGGCATAGGCGGCTGAGAGTACACTATGTGATTTAAGACAACTCTGAATGGACTCCCCTGCATTAACATTCCACTATTATCTCATGACTGGTATCAAAAGGGAGCTCAATTATTATTATTTTAACTCCAACCCTGTAATAAAACTTTTGGAAACTATTCCCAATAAATTCATTAGAGGAACACAAGATTATCAATATGAATGCTTAAGAATTACAGCAATGGATATGTTATTTTAAGTTCCTAGCAAAACTGCTCAAATACTACATTCTAACTCCCCATTGTTCTCCAATATCAGAACATCTCATTCAGCAAAAATATAGAAGTTAATAATAAATTAGCGGGGAGAGTCCGTGCTCATCATCTGTAGCGTAGGAAGAGTGTGTGGTTCCACAAATGCCTTGCATCAGGCATTCACAAAATGTCTGAGGGGCCGCCTTCCTTTGGATTATTCTAAACTTTGTACTTGCTGTCAGTTTTCGTCCTAGCACTGTTGGAAACACTACAATTAATCTACCAATTTGTGTGTGTGTGGGGGGGGGGGGCTGGGGCGGTCAATTGTATACCCTTAAAAGAAGCTACTGATGGGTTGAATACTATTGCCATCCCTGTCCATCTGGTCCTCTTTGGTATTTCATGCTCACTGTGTAGAGGACGGGCATAACTGGGTTTGTTTAGAACCCAGAATGTAATGTTCTACAGATAGTATATAATCACCGAATGAAATGGCCTATGGCATGGGTTACTCTCTTCTCATTTACTCATGGTTCCTGAGAGGATGCTGTGTGCTATTGCACAATTCTAAGGAAGAGACCGTTTTTTGCCTTCTGAACATGCCTTTACAACCATATCCAGCAGTCTTAAAGAACCCTTCTCCTCAGGTTCTCCTGGGAAAGTGTAACCATCTTCAGAGGTCAGGCTCTTTGTGGAAATACCTTCATGTCTTCTACCTGCAAAGTCAGGGTTCCTGTTGGTCTGAGACCCACAAACCATGCTCCGCTGCTTTCTTTTACCAATCATAGTTTTTCCTCCCCACTCGTCTGCTCTCAGTCCCACTCTGTCATTGTAAATACTGAGACAATGATGTTTTCCCTTTGGATTTCATTCAAACTTTAATAGGGAATCATTTTGGAGATATAAAGGTAGATTGAATGTTTCTTGAGATATAAAAGTAGATACCACATATGTATTTCACACACACAGAGAGAGAGAGATTCACACACACACACACACAGAGAGAGAGAGAGAGAGAGAGAGAGAGAGAGAGAGAGAGAGATCAGATATAGAAAGAGGAAGATAGGAGAGAAAGAGGTAGAATTCCTATAAACGTAGATTTCACATAAAACAATAATACATTTGTATTCACCAATGACTCTTAACTTCAGCAGGTTGCTATATCATATATTAGGATTTTTCTCAGGATAAATGGATTATTATAAACTACCTTCAAGCAGCTTACAGTTTAGTTGGTTGGGAAGGCAGGAAACATGCACATGACTGCCTTCATGAGACGGACCAGAGCAAAGAAACTAACAGATGGTCATGAGATAAAGAGGGAGAGTTATTATCCTTGGTCAGGTAGAGGTCCAAGTTCATGGAGAACAGGATAGCTGTCATGAACTTTTTTTTTTTTACATATATTCAAGTATGGAATGATGGATTCTAAATTACAATGACATCTCTGCACTTTGATTCTGTTCTTTTTGAAGCAATGCTGCTCTTACCGATTTGAATGAAACAGAACGATTGCTGATAACCACAGTATGAGTCAGAGCTCACTGCACTTGATCTTACCCTAAGGCCGGTAAGCAATGAGTCAGTGCTTACCACAAGCTACACAGTTTGTAGATAACTTAATTCTCACATTAGTTAAAATTTATGTACCAGTATTTTATAAAAAGTTAAATTTGCCCTGGTGAGATTAAGTAATGTACCCAAGATTAGAGGTTTAGCAGCTCTTGGAATTGAGAAACAAAAGCCAAACTAATTATTTGCTAAGCAATAGAATTAACTCATTATCCCATAAGCATGATTCTTCAAATCTTTCTTATAGTGTCATTTATAGTTTTCTGTGATTTTTTAAATTTTGAGTAATTATATTAAAAAATTATTATAAAGAACTTGCAAATTACAAACATCACACTAAGTACAATTAATGAGACCCAAAGATCACATATTTTATTTAACTTCCATACAGTTAGACAAGTCATTTTGAGGCTATGGAGTTATTGATTGGATTTTACACTTTTCACTATCAAATGAAGTTTTATGAATTTATTCACCAGCAAAAACTGAAAAAAAAATCCATGGCAAATTTAGAACTAGGAAAACAATTGCTTTATATGCTCTTTGATGACTCAAGTGTCCAACACCTACATCCATAGATTTTACATGCTTATACATAAAGTTTACATCACACACACAGCTTAATGTCTTTCTGGGAGTGTGCATAGTCTTCTACTGCTTTACAGTGAGAAATTATCATTTTCTTATTGCATTTTCCACCATGCTTTTAACCACGTATGGTAAAAGCCTTATGAGAATTACAGAGCTTCCCAGGACTAGAGTAATAATTCATGCATAGTGACATCCTTGTTTCTATAAGACTGAAAGAAAAACATTTTTAAAAGAAAAGCAAGACTCATATAATGGCCAAGCTCAACCACCTTCAACACAAGGCTGAGCTCATAGAAGCCCATGGAAAAGTGTACAGTGGTCTTGAGAAGTTTATAACAATAACATCTAGATGCAAGCTTAGATTTACCTCAACAATCAATGGCTGCCTAGTGGATTTAGTGGATTTCCTCTGCTTTTGCAGACCATATTGCATGGATTATGAAAGCGACAGACTCGGCAGAAGCCCCTCTCCTCTGCTGCCCCAGTAAGGTCCCACAGTGCCCCCCCCCCCGCCTGCCATCCTTGCCAAAACAAGCACTTAGTTCTTTGTGCTAACTGGTGAGGCTCCTCAAAACAACAGAACCATAAATCTGCAGCACTGAGAACATGTTTTCCTGAAAACGACTAACAACTATCAAGTAGCCAGGTGAAACACAGCAACTCTATTTTATCAGCTCAGATCTTTGAACTTGTGCACTGCTTCTTAGTATCAGCATGAGATAATCATCTTACTACCTATCTTTTCAAGAAGGATACAATCTGAGTTTGAACAACATTCTGTGTTACAATGCGATGATCTCTAGATGACTCAGAGTGTCTAGGGAAAAAGAAAAAAAAACCTAAAATTCTTTTTTTTAATTTTATTTATTTATTAAGGATTTCTGCCTCCTCCCCACCACCGCCTCCCATTTCCCTCCCCCTCCCCCGACCAAGTCTCCCTCCCTCAACAGCTCGAAGAGCAATCAGGGTTCCCTGCCCTGTGGGAAGTCCAAAGACCACCCACCTCCATCCAGGTCTAGTAAGGTGAGCATCCAAACTGCCTAGGCTCCCCCAAAGCCAGTAGGTGCAGTAGGATCAAAACCCAGTACCATTGTCATTCCCTCCTCTGACTCCCTCCTTCCTTCTGCACAGCTATGTAGCCGGTTTGCTGCCTACCATTAGCAGAACATATATTCCCCTCAATGAAAACATCTGTGTCCTAATATCACTGACACTTGTGGAATATTGCTGTAATCCATTAGATGGTCTCAAACATCTACAGTGACCTGTG